AAAGCTGGGGAACCCACTGTACACTCTAACTAGGGAGCAGGACCGACTCCTCATCACATGGCACTTCCTTATACACTATTAACATGTTAGTATTAATACATGTACAGGGCAATAAGAAAGGGTCAAAAACTAATATCTCTGACATTTTATATTATGTGTTTATACAGGACCTCACTATTTGTACCGAGGAATTTTATTAGAAACGAGGTGACATTCACTCTTTTGATTTTAAAAATCAAATTAAGAACCCACTCCTATCCTCGGCATTATGCACTGTCTCACTCACCCAGCGTATTCGCCTCACGTAGCTGCAGCAGCTTCATGTCTGCCACCAACACGCCAAGTATTCTGCGTGGAGCCTCAGCAAGCTAGCTGTCTGGGCTCAGTCCGCGTTCGGGCTATCAAAGCCTCCATCCAACGGTGTCGAAGCTGCTGAATAGGGAGGCACAGCTCGACATCCATTGACTATTTAGACAGCAAGAAGGCCTCGTCACCCACGTGGTTGCTGCTGGAGACGTACTTGGTGGAGCAGCTGGCAGAGTTTGAGTCGCGACGGGCTGCGGTGGCTTGCGCGAGCGCTCGCTGGGATCTTGAAGATACCTCTCGCAAAGTAGCCGGAGTTTACGAAAAGCAGCTGGCAGCATCACTTTATGGCTTGCCACGGCCTCAAGAAGCTATGTTTTGGGAAAATCTAAGGGGCCACGATGGATGCAGGATATGCCATGTTTGGCTAGATATCACGGCACTGGGAAGGACTGGATGTCAGTGAAGCTTTTCCAAGAGTGGCTACAAATACTAGACAAGGTAGTTGCTGAGCATGGCAGACATATTTTGCTGCCGGATAACGCAACCTATGGACCAAGGGGTCATAGCGTGGTTGAAGCAGCGTTTTATGGCTGCACGGACACAACCTACGTCTACTTGACGGGGAGTACAGTATCGTACCATCCGAAGCGCTTCAGTGGATAAGTGATGCCGCGAACGAGGTGCCGTCACAGAATATTAGAAACTACTGGAGACATGCTAGTTTATACGTACAGACAACGACGGTGAAATTCGCCACCCTCTGAACGCCATCCTCCATAGTAGTTCTTTTTTTGTTTTCGCGACAGGAAAATCCGTCGCACATTTTTATTGGTAGATAAAACGAATTAATTAGCAAAAAGCAAAGTTGAAAACCTCAACGTCTACACCTTTGTGCACTCAACCTCGTAGAAAACGGCAGTCAAACTCGTAACTTAAAAATTGGCAAATAGGAAAATTACGGTAGGAGCCCCTAATCAGTATTCAATGTTGAAAAAACTGCAATCAACCTCGTACAAGATTTGCGAGACTGGTGGACAATCTTCCTCGGGGAGGCGCGAAGCACATCAAGATGACGCCTGAAGCTAAGGTCCTCCTCGAGGAGTACCTGGATGATAGCTGTACCTACACGCTGGACACTATAAGGACAATGTTGATTCTGGACTGTGGCGTTAAGGTGGACACGTCGACGATTACAGTACCCGGCATTTACTGTACCCGGCACCTGAAGGGCATGCTGTTTATCGTAAACCAAGTGAGGGTCGAGCCCACAACGTGTAATAGCGATAGCAACATTGAGAGACGACGTGTGTTCGCCGTGAAATTAAAGGAGCATCAAGACGCAGGTAGCTTTGGCGCGAGTCGAGCAGAGCCTATCGTTTAGGCGCGAACCAGTCTCGACAACAACATCAAGTCCTTCTTTTGAAACATGTGCGTCGAAGTTATCGAGTATAAGCACTGATAGTGCCTCGATCTCGAACTTGAGCAGCTCTCGTACATATATCACCCACACTTTGGCATCCATAAAACCGCTCTCCTGCACTGAGTATACATGACCAACCGGATGTGTTAGTAGCTCCACGAATATCACACTATTTAATAAAGCAATTTTATAAAATCAGCAAAATCAAAAGATATTACCGTGCTGCAAACCGCTGACATAGTCTCATAAACGCACTTAGACCCTTCTCATCGCTTTCCTTACCAGCAAGATACGTTTGAAGCCATCGCGTTTGCTGCTCTTGAAA